TACACTCCAGCCCCTCCCCCACCCAGTGCCTCCAAGACAGGAACACAGGCCATAGGGGACTAAACTGAGCCTGGGGAAAGGAAAATCACAGCTAAGGAACCGGAGCCCCCTTCTAAGAATAAGACTCCTTTTCTGAGCTAATAGGTGCTGGGGAGAGCAGGGGACAGACATGGCAGCAATGGGGAAATACTACCTGTTCTTCCCATCCTTCCTGACAATCCATGGTACCTCCAAGGTGGCCGGTGGAGGCTGCCCCCTCTGCCCCTCTGCGGGTGGGTGAGAGTGTGGGTGCTAGTGGCCCTCCATGGGTGCTGTGACTGACCTCTATGTCCATGTGCCACCTCTGTGGCTGAGTCTGGACATGGGTGGCAGGATGGTTCTGTGTGTGCTAGTATATGTCACCTTGAATCTGAGCCTGCAGATCTTTGTGATCCATCGTTCTCCCCGGATCTGTATCCAGGAGGCCTGTCCTTGGGAGGGTCTATGAAGGTGGGAGTGTTTGTGCATAGAGCGAACACTTCCCTGGGCTTCTCAGAAAGCTCCTACGCTGGACCCGAGAGAAATGCAAGTCTCCACCTCCCAATTCCCTGATTCAAGCAAGCCTTCCTAGGCCCCTGCCACCAGGCCTCCCACCACCTGGCTGATCCGAGGCTCTGGTCTCCTCACTTACCTTCCTCTTTCCTGTGCATCCTAACTTACCCAGACACAGTCTTGACTCAGTCCTCAGTGTGAGGACAGAGCCTCAGTCTAAGACCCCGCTGCCTGGCCCACAAGAACGCTGGGTATTGTCAGGAACCAGGGGGACCAGGATGTGCTGTGCAGCTGTGCACAGACCCCAGGACATGGACACAGAGCAGGGCTGTGAAACCAAGAGGGGCTTTGGGTCAGACAGACCAGAAATTCAAGCTTCTCCTCTTCTCAGCTATGTGGCTTTGGGCAAATGATATACCCTCTCTGAGGCTACTGCCTCGACTTTAACACAGATGAATGAGCTCTTCTTTCCTAGGTAACTAGGGATTAGATAAGACTGTGTAGGTGAAAGCATCTCAAACAGTGTAGGTGGACACATAATTGACCTCCAGAAAATTAAAATCAGTTTCTCCCAATTTGTCTGGCCACCTCTGCCTCTTCTGTACTATGCAAAGAAGCATAAAAACTTGGTTATTTGGGGCCTCAGTTTTTTGCACATATAGAACTGGGGGACCACTTACTATACTTCCCTGGGCCCCTGAGATGATGTCTACACCCCCCAGCCCAGAAGTTGGCAGACTGTAATTGCCCAGTGAATGTCAGTTCCTCCCCACCTTTCTAAGAGAAGGAGAAGTGGGCTTAGAGGTCACCACCAGCCCAGGGAAGCCTTTTGACTGTGGGTTGCCCTGCGTGCACACCCGAACCAACCCAGCCTGTCTCTGCTCTGCGGTGACTCTGGTTCTTTCCCCGGCAGCCTGCCCTTTCTCCCTGCCTGGTGGGCTGTTGTAAGCACCATATAAGAACCCAAATGGCAGAGTACTCTGGGCAAGTAAAAGTGAGCACTGTCTGTGTGCCATGCAATTAGTTGCTGGGTTTGGAGGCTGATCCACAGAGAGATGGAATATACATTTTCTGCCCCTAAAGAGTTTAGTATGAAGTGAACGTATAAGTGTGAAGACAAGGTAATCCGTAGCAGTGGTACTCCAAGTAAGGTCCCCACGCTCCTGTTATCAGAGCCTGTTAGAAATACAAACTCTCTGGCCCCACCTGAGACTTACTGAGTCAGAATCTCAGGGAAGCACTGATCTGCAGTAGTACAGAGAGTGAGCTCTATTGGTGTCCAGGAAGAATAAAATCAGGGAAGGCCTCACAGAGGAGGTGTGCTGTGAGGAGGAAGGTCATTCTCAGTGGGGAAATGGCACCTGTCCCACCAAACTGGAATTGAACTTTATTTGTATGTCCACTTCTTCCCTCCCTGAGACTGGGTCCCATAGACCAGAAGAGGCCACAACAAATGAGAATGAGTTGTGTGTGTTTGGGCTTAGGCATGTTTGTTCAGGAGGCAGAGAGGAACCCAGTCCAGGTAATGTTACAGGTTTGGGTAAATAAAATAAGTCAAATTGCCAAAAGCCTTAAATGTCAAGCTCTAAGGTTTGGACATTGTTCTGCAGATATAAGGGGGGGAACTGAACTTACTTGTGCAGGGGAATGACATAAAGCAGTGTTTTAGGAAGAAACATCTACATTTTAGAAAGAGTGGAACTGGGATAAGCAGGGGCTGAAGGCTGTCACACAGTCCGAGGGTGAGATGCTGTTACTGGCCCAAGAGGCTGAGAAAGACAAAAGGGAAGGGAAGACCAGGTTGCAGGGAACAGTGTGGGCAGAAGGACAGACTTGGTGACGCTGGTGTGAACAGTGAGGAAGAAAATTTCAGAGATGATTTCGAGATTCTGATCGGGAGTATCCTGGAGCAGAACAAGACCCCTGGGGGAACAGGCAAGTTGGCAGGAGGGGATGGCTTAGCAGTACTTGTATACAAGTATCTACTTATATTTATGGTTGCGATTCATGTAAAGTTTTAAAAATAAATTACACATAGGTTGTTTGTTTTTTAATATATCTTTATTGATTTTAGAAAGAGGAAGGGAGAGGGAGACAGAGAGAGAGAAACATCCATGATGAGAGTCATTGATCGGCTGCCTCCTTTACACACCCCCACTGGGGATCGAGCCCGCAACCAGGGCCTGTGCCCTGACCGGGAATCGAACCACGATCTCCTGGATCCTAGGTCGATGCTCAACCACTGAGCCACGTCGGCCGGGCAGTTATTTTCTTTTTTATATTCACAGCTTCTAGCAGAAGAACTAGGGACGGAGAGGGTAAACAGCTGGCCAGGCGGCGGGCCAGTAGCTCCTGCTGCACCTCACCGCCTCGCCCGTGTGTCCTGGGGAGGAGAAAGAGTTTACCGAGGGCGCCCCCTGCCCTTCTCCCGTGATGCCCTCCTGTCTCCCTCACTGCACTTACCCAAGTGTCTAACTGTTGTTTCCCTCATAAAACATCAAGCCCATGAGAACAATCTTTTAAAATTTCTTTTTCAGTGTCTTATTTCTCTTCATCTAATATCTGCACCAGCACCAGGCTCAGAACATGCACCTAAAGAGCGCTGAGTGATGAATAAATAAACCGTAAGACATCCAAATAGAGCTGTTGATGGGCAACTGTAAGCGCAGAACTGGAGCTCTGCTGAAAATATTTTTATTCTTTTTCCTAAATGAATGAAAGAATGTCATCTCATTATAATGGCCTGAGCGTCACTACCCCAATACAGGCTAATAATTCGTTAAGATTGAAATCTGGTGAGTCAATGCAGTTTAACGAATGTCTGTTGAGCACCTATGTGTGCGGAAGAGAAAATAATGTCCTCTTAGCGCTCGGAGGTGCACAGTTTGGTGTGAGACCCAGGCATGTAAACGCCTAAATAACATCCGGGACCTTAGGCATTTGGTCCGAGCAGAACAGTGAGTCTCGGGGGCGCTGGGGAGGGCTGTGTGCAGGGGAGGCTTTGCTGCGAGGAGAGGCAGAGCTGAGCCGAGGCGCTGGAAGCTGGGCTGGGGTCTGTGAGGCTGGGAGAGTTGTAGGCTTGATTCTAGGGGCAGCAGAGTCCTTGTAAATGCATGACA